TATTAGAAATACGAATCACGACACGTGTTAGTCTAATTATATAATTAATATATTTTATATTTTATTATATATTTTTATATTTATTATATTTATTTTATAATTTATATATAATTATAATGAGAAATATATAATTAAATTTTGCAAGATAATAATTATTTGTTTATAATTTACATTTTATTTATTAGAAATACGAATCACGACACGTGTTAGTCTATCCTGTTTACTTGTTTACTTGTTTACTTCTTTCTTTTTATTTATTATTATTTGTATCCATTTAGTATAATCATCTTTTCTTTAACAGATGAAATCAACATTGTTACGTCGTACTTGTCAAACCTGTATAAGCGAGATCGTTGAATGTTAATTACATGATATGCAGAAAACACATCATAAAGACTAAGATTCGATATGTAACATGACTCGTATATTCAAATGGAAATGTTTATGCAAATATATATTTCACGAGTCAAACGTTTATTATGATAATTATTACTTCAAACAAATTATTATCTCATTAATGAATGAAAAATAAATTGAGAAATTTAATGAAACGTATTAATACATTCTTATCTTATGTTAATTGTTTTATAATAATTTATTTTTTATTGTTTAATTTTTTTTTACTTTTCCCCTCCTCCTCCTACCCTTTTTTCAATATCATTTCCAATTGTATACGCGAGATTGATCAAAACTACGTTTCTATCGAATTGGTTTTCCGATCGAGAACTGCGACCTTGTTCATCTCAAAAGAGAGAAAGAGAGAAAGAAAGAGAGAGAGAGAGAGAGAGAGAGAGAGAGAGAGAGAGAGAGAGAGATAGAAATTTTGTGTCGTGCCTTGGTAATCCGATAGTACAAAATAAATTACACGATCTAATCGGATTACTCAACACACTAACGGAATTACACACAACCGTACGTTTAACATTTTCTCATCATTGCTGCTCGACAGTCAAATTTGTGAAAGAAGAAGAACGGAATATAAACTTGCGTGAGTAATCTGTCAAATGAATGAATGAATGAATAAACGAAACCTTTCTATCTTTCCATGTATATCATGTGTGTATTTGTGTGTGTGTGTGTGTTTGCGTTTACAAAAATAAATAAAATAATGTTCATAGTTAAAAAAAAATAAATTTAAGTATATTTATATATGTAATATTTAATGTGTAAAATAATATATACATTATTATATTATATATATATATATACTATACTACTAAAATAATATATAATAATATTATATATAATATATATAGAATTTATATATATTTTATATTTTTATACATATATAAAAATATTACATATATTTTATACATTTCTTTTTTTGTTTTTTGAAATTATTATGTTTCATCTAACAAATCTTTTAAAATCGCCAAAATGTTTTTTTACAAAGTAAACTCCATTCATAGTCCTCTCATATAAATGGTGCATATTAATTTAATACACATGCATACGGAGAGACAGAGACATATGCATTATTCTAAATACCACGTAATCTCGTACAAGTACTTGCACGTTGCACTGAAGATTAATACGATAAGAATAATCCTCGCGTGGGTTGTATAAGAAATAAAAAATAAAAATAAACACGAGACACATTTAAACAGCTTTTATATATATATATATATATATATATATATATATATATATATGTTATAAATCAATGAAATTTTTCTTGAAATAATTTTATAATATTATCTAAGAATATTTTTATTCAAAACTTTGATCCGATACAATGCAATTTCAATGCAAATTTCGAAATGCAGGATTATCAATGACATTACATTCACATGTCATCTTTTTTCTTTTTATATATATATATATATTTTTTTTTTTAAACAATTTATTCTTAAATCGAAAAAATTCAATTGAAATGCAACGATAAAGTATCTTTCTATTTTCTATTTTTACTTTTATTCGTGCGTTCGTATTATCTTCGACAAAATTTTATCCTATCCTTATAATATCTTTCACCCACTTTCATTTCTATTTCTTTCTATTTTACTCTTCCTTTTGGTTTTTTAAAAAAGAAACAAAGAAAGAAAATGAAAAATGTTGAAAGACGAGGTGAGAGGGGGAAGTAGGAGGGGGCGAGGGGGGATGAGGGAGGGGGTTAACCGTAAGGTATCGTAAATTCCACGCTAATCTCATACTTTTCCATCAGAAAGATTTCAAGGTTTACGAGCGTCAGCTGGAAACTGACTGATCTCTCGAAAAGTTTAGTGAGAGTGGTTTTAAGTACTCTCTTTCTCTCTTTCTCTCTCTCTCTCTCTCTCCCTCTCTCTTTCTCTCTTTTTTTCTTCGACGAATCGTCTTTTTGTTAGTAGTTCTATTCGTATTAGTTACTCAAGGATTGATCTTCAAATAAAAAAAAAAAAAAAAAATAAAAAATAGTTCCCTTAGTTTGTATTAGAAAAATCAATTTGATTTTATTTTTCTTAGAAAAAGTAAAAAAAAAACCTAAAAATAAATTTTACGAATAATCTGAGACAAGTCTTTTATTTAAAAAAAAAAAAAAAAAAAAAAAACTATGAAATAAATAAACTATCGATAATAAATTTGTAGATTAATTTTTATATTATATAAACGACGACGACGATGACGACGACGACGTTTCTATGGAATTTTTGTTACAAACGAACGACAAGAATAAATAATTTCTATATTTAAAACGACAAATTTTGTACAACCTAATCGAGAAATAATAAATTCACGAGATTAATTCTTATTTACTTGCGCGTCACACCTTTCTTTATTTTTTTTTTCTTTTTTTGTATATTATATTTAATTCTACAGATAAAATAAAAATATTCTAGATAAATAATATGGATCATAATGATCATATTTTTCGTACATTATAATCAATATTCAATCAGTATGACGTATTATTATGGTTACGTTACACGTCACGAACAAACTACTATGCATATACATATATATATATATATATGTGTGTGTTTGTGTGTGTTAATATAAAAGCGTCGTTTACCGTTATCACAATGACGATAATAAAATTCCATATACACTCTCATTTGCAATCGATCGCGTTTAACATTTATCTACTCCTTTTTTTTCTTTTTCTTTTTCTTTTTTTTTTATTATTCTCTCTCGACATTTAACGATAGAAAATTTAAATAAAAGCAAAACTGTAAGATATTTAAATAAAGAAAAAAAAAATATATATATATATATATATATATATAAATCTAATGTTTCTTGATAAAATACAGGGTGTGATTCTTGTAACGGAGATATACAGTAATAACTTTTTTTTTGTTAAGTAACAATAGAAAAAAAAAAATGATAAGGGAAAGAAGTTATATGGCACATCACATGTCACCTTTCTATGATCTTACTTTTTTCGAAAATGCATCGATGCACCCGCTAGATGCAGTTGCACTCTTTTTTTTTTTATAAATCGAACCTTATATATATATATTTTTTTTTTAAACACAATTCCATTCCTATATTTTTTTTTTTTATTCTGCGTTAAAAAGTATTTAATGAAGGTCATCGAAATGTCAATTAGTTTACGAGATATTTCATGTTTTATATCAGTAATGTATAATGGGGGTGGGGTGGGGGGNGGGGGTAACATCTCTCGTGGTCGCGTAGTCTATCAGACGAAAACTCGTGGCAACAAAAAAAAAAAAACCATAAAAAAAAGTTGTAAAACGAACTTTCAACGATCGAGAAGGTCGAACGATATAAATCGCAAAAAAAAGAAATATAAAGTAAAAAATAAAAGAAATGAAGAGAAGAACTTCAAAAAAAAAAAAAACCGGTCGACCTTTTGTCGATTTCTTCGGAATAAAATTTCTGAATCTGGTTTTGTTTGATTGTGGACCTTGAAACAACTATCTCGAGATGAAGAATTCTTTTGCGCTAAAATTATCATTCATTTGATTATTATTTTTTTTTCTTTCTTTTCCTTTTCAAATTACGACTCGTCAAAGTATTTTTTATTTCAACTTATTATTTTACAACAACAACAACAACAAAATAAGAAACAATACGAGAGTGCACAAATTGTAGGAAGAAAATTGAAGATAAATTATATCGGTCGAATTATTATTTAAAAAAAAAATATATATATATATATATATATATACGTGAATTCATCTCGTTTGTCATTTGAATTGTATGATTTTTCTTTTTGTTAATAAAAAAAAAAAAAATAAATAAAAAATAAAATAAAAAGCAGATACACGTTTGACAGACACAAAGGAACCGTCGTCACCTAATGGCAAAAAGGTACGACCCTGACACACATAGATCTCTCGAACGAAATTGCAAAGATGTTTTTTTTTTTGTTTTTTTTTTTTAATTGCAAATGGTACGTACGATGAGGGAAGAAAAAAAACAAAAACTTTATCTTTCTCTCTCTTTCTCTCTCTTTCTATTTTTCAACTGTGAGAATGTAAGAAAACTGTAAAAAGCTCGGTGGTTCTTTTAAAACGAGCAATTTTGCCTAATGAATAATAAATTTAAAGTTCAATTTAACAGGGTAAGAAGAAGAAGAAGAAAAAGAAAATGTTGGCGGTATTTAAATCTATCCAGACGATTTTACGAAACGAGGTGAATTAAATTAAACGTGGTTGTGTTTATAGGTCGAATTATAAAAATGTTGGGGGAAAAAAAAAGTAATTTAAAAAAAAAAAAACATAAAACACAATAAAACGAACGGAACAAAAACAGAAAGATAAAAAAGAAGAAGAAGAAGAAGAAGAAGATAAAAAATAAAGAATAATTATTATTTTGTTTAAAAATCTATCGATCTTTCTTTCTACCTTATGCAAAAAAAAAAAAAGCAAAATAAATTTATACAGTAAAAAAACTGAATAAATCATTAAGCTAATTTTTTATTAATAATTCTTATCTCAAATATGAATTGTTCTTAATCTAAATTATTGTTTTAACATGTACCTGTCACAAAATAATAAAATATTCAAATATTAGCAAATAAGAGTATTATTTATAAATAAAAAATTAATAAATTATATTTTTTAATATATACCTTTCACAAAATAATACAATTTACAAATATTAGCAAATAGGGGTATTTTTTATAAATAATAATTTAATAAATTATAGTTTTTAATATATACCTATCACAAAATAATAAAATATACAAATACTGTTAGTATTTGTACCCTATTTGATAAATAGGGGTATTTTTTATAAATAATAAATTAATAAATTATATTTTTTAACATATACTTGCCACAAAATAATAAAACATACAAATACTAACAAATAGGGGTATTTTTTATAATTAATAAATTAATAAATTACATTTTTTAACATATACTTGCCACAAAATAATAAAACATACAAATACTCGCAAATAGGGGTATTTTTCATAAATAATAAATTAATAAAAGTTATAAAACAATAGAAAAGAAAGAAGAATGCACTTTGAATGTCAAAAAAAAAAAAGAAAAATAAAAAAACAATCAAGTACAGTAATGAAAAGAGAAAGAAATAGTTCAGCGTTCCATGTTAACGCACAAGAAGACGCATGTTGAATAACGAAGAAAGAAATAAGCAGAACTTAATTTAAGTGTCACGCCTGACAATTGCAACGGCACTTATGGTAGTTCGCAGTCGCATAAAGTCGTTGCTATGAAATCTACTTAGGTCGTTTTTAACCACACACAAACACAAACACACATATTTATATTTTACTTTGATCTTTGCGTGTACTATCACGTTTTAATCTCAATGCAATTAATGTATACCCCAGTCATCATTTAAAAACTTGACGTATGGTTAGATAGAAAAAAAGAAAAAAAAAGAAACTAGGAAGCATAGTTACATTAGAGTAATGAAAACTAAAAATAAAAAAAAAAAAATTAAGAGGAAATAGAAGAAGAAGAAGATGTATGTGTGTGTATGAACGTGTATGTTCCTCCCATCATTTATGAACTTGACGTATGTTGGATATAAAAACAAAAAATAGATTGAAGAAAATGAAAAAGAAGATAGAAGAAGGTAGAAGAAGGTAAAAGAAAGAAGAAGAAGAAGAAAAACGAAAATGAAAAAGGTAGACGAGAAGAGAATGTAGATGTGTGTATAGAGTCGTGGCCGAGGACGACCTGGAACCGTTACCATGAGACTTTTCGAAACAGAACAGCAACAGTCTCTTTCCAACACTCGTTGGTGTAAGCTTCCGATCAAACACGAACTATCTATAAATTACGATTACGAATAAATACAATTACAATTATCGTTGATAATAATTTTAATCAAAGTAAGAAACTTCAAACGATCTCAACACGAATTCTTCTTGTCAGTGATACGAATTAAAACCAAAAGAATACAAATAAAAAAAGAAATGAAGTTAATCTACAATTTCTTAGTTCTGTTATTTGTACGAGAGGTAAGCGTTTTAATCAGTTAAGTACGTTTGACGTGTATACTCGTCGTGTAAAATACCCAAAACATTATCATTAACTATAAAAACTCGAAATTTCAATAAAATGTAATAAGAATATTATTTGGTGATATATGTTACCTTTTATATTACCAATAAGTAAAGTTAAGTGCGTTCGATGCGTTTGACGTGTATACTCGTCGTGTAAAATACCAAAACATTATCATTAACTATAAAAACTCGAAATTTCAATAAAATGTAATAAGAATATTATTTGGTGATATATGTTACCTTTTATATTACCAAAATAAGATCTCTATGTATTTTATTGAGATTTATTTAATTGATTTTTATTAATAAAAAGATGTGCCTGTCGTTTGCTCAAAAAAAAAAAATGGAAAATGCAAAGAAACCATTTGTTTTGTCTGGTTAAACTTTGTTTTTTGATTTAGCAGTTTAACAAAATTCTCTTTAATTAATTATCACTTAAGAACATTGTTGATTCATTTGACAATTGTATAAAATGAAAAACAACAAAAGGGTCAATCAAAATTAACAGTAATGTTGTTTCAAACGTTCCTTTCATGATATTAAATCAACATATTCTTTATCAATGGAAGAAGAAATATTAAAAAAAAAAAAAAAATAACTTTGATCTTCTACTTTTTATGAAAAATATGTAAAAATTATCTATCAATGTTTCTTCTGTCAATATAAAAAAAAAAAAATCATCTCATGTGTAACTTCGTATTCACTCTTGAGTAATTATTACTGGTACAATTAATCAAAGTGCTTGGAATGTAAATAAAATATGAAAATAAAAGAAAGAGAAAGAGAGAGAGAGAGAGAGAGAGAGAGAGAGAAAGAGAGCTAATTAACGAAGTTACATAGGAAAAGAAAAGGATGCAACGTCGAAATCGGACAACTACGTTTCCAATTTCAATGAAAGCATTAATTAAAAAGTATATATATATATATACGTATGGCGTATTTTTTTTTTCTTCTTTTTTTTTGTGTGTGCAGGCATTCGGTGCGGTTGCTAGGAAACCCCCAGCTTTTTCAAATCCAGTCTATTCGAATGCATATCTTCCAGCAGCTATGCAGGTAAGTGCAATTTTTGTCTGATCCTAAAACAATAAAAAAAAAAAAAAAGAAATTTAAAAGAAGATAGAAAAGAACACATGAAAAGAACGATTTCTTCATTGATTTGATATTAAATTAATAAATTGATAATAATATTCAGGTGATATTTCATGCAGTGGATCAATTAAAAATAATTCAAGCAGAAAAAACAATGGAAACTACTAGCATTGCTTCTACTTCTTCTTCTATTTCTTCTACTTCAACTTTCGTACAAATGAACGAACCTACGACAATGGGAATAATCGATGATGATGATAATACGAAAGAAACGGAAATAATGGAAATGGCTGAAACAGTTACGAAAAGTTTTAATAATAAAAATGAAGAAAAATTGTATTATAACGTAGAATATCCAACAACAACTTTGGGAAGTTCGATAATCGATGATGAACATCAAGAATTACCAGAATCTCATGAGGAAACACCGGAAATGAATTATGCAACTCCGGAAACGAATTATGAGAAAGCTGAAATGGTCGAGAAAGAAGACACGATAGAAATGAATCAAGAACTTCCGGAAATAAATGAAGAGGAATCAAATATCGATTCGAAAGACTTGACATCATCTACTACTACTACTACTACTACTAACACTAAAGTATCTGTAGAAAACCAACCGAGCATCGATAGTATAGTCGAAGGGATTTACGAGATTCTCAAACCCACTTCTACGGATATTTATGAAGATGGGTACGATGAGTATAACGAAAATTTAAAGAAAGAAAAAATCGAAGAAGAGAACGATGAAAACAGGTAGATAATATACACATTTAATATCATTATTATTAATATACTAAATAAAGTTTTTAGGTGAACTAGTGCAGGAGAAAAATAATTTTTAATTATATGATAATATGTTCAGATGTATTAAGATATGTCTTTATATATAATAATAATAATAATAATAATAATAATAATAATAATAATAATAATAATATATAATAAGTAAATATATAATATAATATATATTATTATAATATAATTATTATTATATATAATATTATATATTAGCTATATTACTATAAATATAATAATATATAATAAGATATACATATTATATAAATTAATATATATTATCTTAATATATTAATATATTAAAGTATTTTAATTGAATAATTATTAATTATATAATATATTCGTGGATAAATTGAAAAGGTGTAGGAGCAAAGTATTTTTTTTGTTTCGTCGAAACTAAAAACATTTCAATCCAAATCAGATATGATAAAATAATGTTGAATTAATTAATACAAATTTGAATACGATATTTGATCAATTTATAAAGATAGAACTTCTCTAGACTAATGAAAAGTAATAGAAAAAAGAAAATATTGATAAAACAAGAAAAGATTGACGGCGCATGATTGCACGAAGAAAAAAGTTGATTCCATTTATCGAGTGGTGCAGGATATTGCGAATCTGATGGATATAAATCGATTTCTCATACTCTTTTGCGCCTTTACACAGAATTGCCTGCCTCGCAGAGAAATACACGATAAAATATCATAACGTTTCTTTTCCATCTACCAAAACCAATCAACTAACCAACCAACCAACCAAACTTGTGTCTTACCATATTTTCTTCATTTTATTTCAATGACACGTTTCGTACATACATTATTTTCTTGAAATTCATTTTATCACAAAGTATAGTCCAAATTTTTCACATATTTTCTAATAAGCGTGAAGTTTATTTAAAAAAAAAAAGAAAAAATATGTCGTCTTGATTCTTGTCCTAAAAAAAAAAAAAACGGAAAAAGAAAAGAGAAGGAAATGAGAGGAAGACAGATGATGTTTAACGATGTCGTTTCTCAAAGTTAAGGAGTCCCCGCCGAGTAGAATAAAAATAAAAGTAATAAAAAAAAAAGAAAAGAAAAGAAGTAGACTTATCTTCTCACCTTGTTTTAGGTTCATGATGCTAGGGGAAAAAGTGACACAAGTACCAAGGCCAAGCTTAAGCAACTACTTAAAGCGTGCCAAAGTAGAGCCTAGGGCATCTTTAGTGCAGTTGGCATCTCTCTACGATGCCCTTGGGAAAGATGCTAGAAAGCAGGGCTATGGTAAGTACTTTGGATACTCTAAAGAAGTCCTGCAGGTGCTCGAAACATCATCCGAAGGTGGTATAGGACCCCAATTGAAGACATTATTGGACAAACTTCTCGAAAGGAATGAACTTACCAGGGAAGATGCTAAGAACAAAACGAACATGGTCATACGTGATCTTCAAGATCCTGCTAGTGAACTTAGCAAAGATCTTAGAAATCTTTTACCACTTCGTTTCTCATCTTAAATATTTTTCTTCTTTTTTTTTGTTTTTTTATTATTATTATTATTATTATTATTATTATTATTATCCAAACGATAATAGAAATTATTTTTAATTTAATTATTAATAAACGAAAACGTGTGTTAAACTGTTAACTTTGAAATTGTTTGTGTTTGGTTTGATTAATCAAAAAACAAAAAAATTCGTTTCAATGATCATTGAATGGGTTAAGGTTTAATACGTTTATTAATCGTGAAATTAGTAAGGGAAAAAATACAAAAAATACAACTAAAGTAAAAAAAAAGAAGAGAAGATTAAAATCACCCCTGTTGAAATAAAATGACGAAGGGTTAGTACGTGATCCGAATTCATCATTTTTACATCTACTTCAGATACTGTAAAAGCAACCCACAAAAAGAAAAAAATGAAGGTACGTTAAAAATCCTTCTGAACGATAAATGACAGGATTTGTTTATTAAGTTATTGCCAATTAGTGTCTCTACGTTCAACCAAATTAAACCAAATTACATTGATCTACGAACAAATGAATTATTTCATTATTCTAACATTATCATTATCATTATTATTATTGTTATGAGAAAATGAAAAACACATTTCAGCACTATTTATTATTATTATTATTATTATTATTAAGTACCTAATGAATAAGTTTAATGATAATATGTAATTGAATATATTTAAAAAAAAGATTGTATACGTTGACAAATATATTATCGAAACAAAAAAAATCGAAATAAACGATTCACATTAGATCAGATATACTTATAAAGACAATAGATTAGATATTATTATTAACTGGCATTAGAAACTCGAAAGTTCTTTTGTATTATCTGCAGATAGGAATCATTTGAAACATCAATTTCAAATATATTTCATAAATCTCTGATATATATTTTTTTTTTTCACTTTAATTCTTTCAATCAATATTCTATTAAGAATTCTGACAGGTCGCTGTTACTTACAGACAAGTGTATGTATGTATATTCGTTCTGGCTTTCAACGAGAAAGTAAACATCTTCGAAACATCTGCGTCTCGTAAAAAAAAAAAGCAAGCAACCCCATTCCTCTCTTCCTTCTTCTCAAATTCGATATTTCACGTGTGTGTGTGTGTGTGTAGTACGTCGTCAGCATCTTTAAACGTTTATCCTATATCCTAGAAATCTTTTTCAGTAACTGTTCCATTATACTGAACGAAGTTCATATATATCATCCAAAATGTCTTCATTTGGATTATGAAAAACGATGTCTCATACAGGATTGACTCACATGTTTAAATATTAATAAAGATCCTTTGAATGGTATCGTCTAATCAAAATGTCATTGTCTAAAAAACCACAGCTAGCTGGTTGTTGTGGTTCTAAGAATCAAATAAAGAAAAAAATCTACCCAATCAATTTCTTACATTTGCATACACACGTATTATTAACATACGTCTACATCGAAATAATAATTAAATGAATAATTATGAATTTATTATAAATACAAATTAAATAAAATACATTTTTTGAGGCTTATGGTCTCGAGAGAGACCAGACAGACCTCAGCGTATAATTGTAAAAGAAAATTACGTTTCTTGATTGAAAGATCTTCAGGGTAGGATGATCAGTCCTACCATGCCATTAATTTTTCATAAATAATAATAATAATAATTAATTAAATTAACAAGTAATCAATCACATATTTAAAATAATAAAATGTATATTTTAAAATGAATAATACGTGTGTTATGTTTGACGTAAGATTGAAATGAATAAAAATACATTTTCCAACCACGTAATTAAAGACTACGTCGACAAAAAGTTTGCGTAAACGTTTGACATAATAATAAAATCTCGCGTATAAATAATAGCAAGTAAATCGAGAAGGTAACGTGCATATTAATGATTTAAAATTATAAAAAAAAAAGAAAAAAAAGAAAAATACCTAATCAACAATTTTCAATGTTCAAATATTCATCCTACAGAAAAAGAAATGAGATGAGATTATTCGATTGAATAAAAATTGATATAAATGAATAAATAGGATTGATGGGTATTATTTTAGTATTATTTTGAAAAAACACCTTGACCCATCGTCGAATCCAAAGATCGATATTGTTTAATACTCCCGGGATTATGAGTTGGCAAAGACTCGACAATGAGGCGCATCGATACGTGCTCGGAATGGCCAAACAATGTATTGACTAATTCTGTGTGTCAATTGGTGTATCCAATACTTCAATGGCGCGGGCAAAGACAATAAAGATGAGTATTATCGTTCTATCGAAAAAGATCGATTGTGTTTTACGCTGTTGGATTGTACAAAGGTATAAATTGATTTTGAAATTGATCGGGACCTTCAGTTGTACGTTCGACCAGTGTGGGCCCCCGATCTCAAGTCTGTGGACATAACAAATTACGTTGAATACATCAAATTAATTGAAATTAATTATAATTGTTATTTAAAAACAATAAAATAAATAATTAATAAAATGAAATACTCGTTGGTATACTGTTTGCTTCTTTGCGTAAGTAATTTTTAAATTATTATTATTATTATTTAATTTTTATAAATTATGTGTGTGTAACTTTAAAAATATTTATTTTTTATTAATTAAAAATTCATCTTGTACAAATAAGTTGGACCAATTATAGCATTCTTTGCAATATTATAATAATATTCAATGTTAAATTAAATATAGCAAATATTGATTATTTTAATCTTGCTATTAAAGGTTTATTTTATTTACGAATAACCAAATTTTAATAGAATATTTTGATCAATATGCAAATATGGAAATTAATCGTCCATGACAATTATTCTGAAAATCAACAATTTTACATACGACAAAAAAAAACACAGTTAATTTCTGAGCTTACGTAAGCATTATTATATTCACATACTGCTTCATATGTATGTCTCGTAATAAGAAATATAAAACAAAAAAATAATTGAAGAATAACGTTTGTGAATTTTAATGACGACATTAAACGAGGAACCACGCGCGTCAAAAACAACGTGCCTCGTAAAAATGAACACTAAAAGTACGAAGTAAAACAAAATGGCATTGACATCGCTCGTACACTCATTCAAATCCTTTTTCCCTTACTATCAATCGACACGTTTAGATTTAATATATTTAAATAATTACAAAATAATTTGAATTCGTATATTTTAACAGCTCCTGTTAACGAGAGTACAAACGAAGCCGCAAATAACAAAATTATTTCCAATCGAAGAAATACTCACGAACGATCATCGAGAAAACAACAACAACAACAACAACGAGACGAGATTGTTCGACAAGTTGCTTGGAAAATTACGTTCAACGTATAATTTTGTATTTCATAAAACTGACGATAATGCTGCGAACAATAAGACAGAAGTTAAAAATATGGGAATCGATAAAACACCTAATTCCAATGTATTTAATTGGAATAATCCTAATTTCAAATTAACGAAAGAAATAGAAAACCCCAAAGAAGAGCCCGTATATCAAACGAGAATAGAAACACTTTACGATGCTCCAAAAAATGATAAATTCGACGAATTGCAACCCTTGGAATCTTTGGAACCATTGATGCCATTGGATTTCAACGAAGATATTAATAAAAATGACGAAGTTGAATTTGTAACACCGGCAACTGATTCCAATTTTTCGGCAACTCTGAGTCGTCATTTCGTCGATTGGCTTGGTTCGCTTCTAGGAATTTCATACGGAATTTACAGTAAATTTTCAAAAGCCATTTACCAAAATAACACACTTTATTAGGGTCAATGGCATACGCGATGAACATACTTGGACTTTTGCTTCTTTCTTCTCTAAAATTGACAAATTTATAATTAAATAATTATTTTGTAATATTATATTATACAAATAATTGTATACTCACTTGAAATTCGTGTGCCATTTTCCTGTAATAAAGGTTATTTGATTAAATAAACAAATATATAAATGGCGCCTCATATAATGCATATTCAAAATTGTCTTCTTGTTACACGCTTTTATTAAAAAATATGTCAATCTGAAAAATACATATATATATTATATATGTATATATGTACATACGTCTTTTTGTTCTTTTATTCACTTTTTTTTGTGGTTGTTGTATTTTGGCAATTTAATCAAATTATCTATCATCAAACAATGATAAACTTCTTCTCGAATAAAACTGTGCCATGAATTTCAATCAATTTCCATTCATTCTTAACTTAATCATTCGATGAATAATTTTGTCATTCTTATAACTAAGTAAGATGAATAAAAATTCGTTAATTAATTAGATTATTTTAAAAAATGTTATACAATAATTAAACGTATTCGCTGCTATCTATTAATCATGTGGAAGTATGTTTAAAAAAAATTGATCAAAATGGCTGTAAATAAAATGAAAATGATACTAATGAAATACTGCTAATCTTACGATCACCTTACGGGTACAACTAAAGTCTTTGGTTCTATTATAATAATAATACGTGATAATGACATTTCGTATTATGCCAATATCTATCACGATTGTTATATTTACAGTTTCATATGTGTATTTGTATAAGAAGTATAAGAATATCGTAAAAGGGGCAGACTCAATAAGTCAAGTCTGTCGAGAGTAATCGGAAGTTCTTTTTTTGCGAATAAGAGACACTGTCGAGAAAATTACAAATTCTATTATTGATAATTGAAAAAAAATGTTGATAATATATTCAAATGATGAATATTTCTTCAAAGTGTCTCTTTTCTTCATGACTATTACAAATATACGAATTGATTTTCAATTTATCACATGTACAAATAACTTCGAATTTGTACATAAGTTCAATCAGATAAAACATATCGAAGTTCTCATTCTCTCTTTTTTCTAAATTTTACATATAATATTTGTTTTTGTTTTTTTTTTTTATTTCTTTCAGGATAAATATGAATTAATTTATCACCACAATGCGTGACCATCCTAACGTTTATACGTTTTTTTTTTCTTCTTCTTCTTCTTCTTCTTATTTATATAAGAAATTGTTTTTAAAAATAAAAATACAAAAAAGATAAAATAAGAATATATGATTAATTTCTTCTTTAACACGTTAATGATTTGATAAATTGATTCATATTAAAATAATAATCGTTATGCAATATATCAGCCTTTGTACAATTGTAATGAAAATTCGTGTAATTTGATTAAAATAATATTAGAAAAACTATATCGTATATATATATGGATGATACAATTAATACAATGTATGGCAAATATTTCTGAATGATTTATGATATCGATTAAATTATTAATAATATCTAAAAAAAAAAAAAAAATCGAATCGAACTAATCTAATTTCGGATATGAAATATCAACGAACATTTGTTTTCCTAATAACGCATAATTAATTACATATATATATATATATATAAATATATACGTACATGATATACATTGTGTACTTGCAATGGTACTCCTTTATAATCAGAATGCATCCTATTGACAAAAATGACTAAATAATTCACTTAACTTAAGGATAACGTATTGATCAATATTAGAAATTAGAAAATAGAAATATAATACTAGAAGAGTATAAAGCTGATGCTTCATTATCTTATTTCTAATGACATCCAGCTCTCTCTCTCTCTCTCTCTTTCTCTCACACCTCTCATCCCTTATTTAAAACTTTTCTTTCACATTTATTCGTCGACTAGAAACAAAATGCACTTTTGTTGGTTTATTTGGTTAAACTTACATACGTGCAGATTATTATGTTAACGAATTAAGTCAACAACAACAAAAAATGGACAACAAATCAATTTCATGATTTATTTCATATAAGATATGACGCGAAATTATTAAAAATATAAATGTCAATGAGTTTCATCCAATTTTTGTTCACTTGCTTCGTTATCATAATTATCAACACATATGCAAAACAAGTAATCCACATGCTATATGGATTTGTTCATTTTTATAATAGCATTTAAAAAAAAAAAAAATAACTATCTAATCCGACCTTTTTTGTTAAAAGAAAATTAAATTTAAATTAATTTAATATATGTGTTAGCATACGTTCGCCATGATAGCGTACTTAAGGCATCATTCATTGAACATTGATTTTCTTTTCTTATCTTTTCTTTTTTCGTCAACTAATCGGATGCTTCTCTCTTCCTTCAAAAATTTTAACAAATTCCATACAGTTTTTYTTTTTTTTTTTTTTTTTTTTTTTTKAAAAACAAGATCACGATTTAGTAAATATATTCGTTAAAAATAATAAATCCCTTTATAATTGGCATAATATTTACGTCTAAATTTAAAAAATTGCAAGAAAATATCTTTGCATTATTATTATCTTAATATTTACTATCACCATATTTATGAAATTGAAAAAGTATATTAAATATGAATTTGATTCAGAGAAGATCCCATTGCCAATTAAATTGTGTTGATTTCAACACGTAACCTTTCTAAGCAATTTATTGTTTACGATGATGTTATCTATATTAATTACGTTTACAACTAAGAAGGTGTTACGTAGCTTATATTTTCACTTATATTTGCAAATGGCTGTTGAGCCATAATATCTCTCAGAGCTTCTTCCGTAATTGACAAAGAAGAACCAGTGAATAACAATTGATCCTTTTGTAAATGTTGAATGTGTTGAAGTAAATTTGAACTGTCTTTCATAAGAAAATTGATTTCTTGTTGTTTAGGCATTGACAAAACTTCGACAGTTTTGTCACAGATTTCTTTTGCTTCAGTATCAAATACATCCTTCTTACTTTTACCCTTTTTCGTAGCTAAATGCGTTTGAGTATGTTTATGCAAATGATCTTTTCGTGCAAAGGCCTTTTGACATATAACGCATATAAAATTTTTATTACCTGAATGAATAACGTTGTGTCTTCTCAAATGTTCATTCCTTTTAAAAGCTTTTTCGCACAAGGAACACTTAAAAGGCCTTTTGTTTGAATGACCACGCATGTGTTGATCCAAATGTTCTTTCCTCTTCAACATTGCATCGCATAACCCACATTGATATTTTCGTTCTTGCATATGAACTTGTCTGTGTTGTTTTACCTGTGACACTTCATGAAAAATTTCATTGCAATCAGGACATGAATATATTTTGGAACCATCTAAACCAACGGTTATTTTGAATTCTTTAAGTTTAGCTCTAAATTTCATTACTTTTTGGTTCTTGGGTGGATCAGTTTGTACTTGTTGTTCTACTTTCATAACTTGCGTGTTACTTTCACAAACTTCTTGATTCGATATCAAATTAACGTTAAAATCATTATGATTCAATGATGCATCTATTTGTTCTGAGTTTACAAAATGATTACCATTTTGTGTTTGAGCATTTCTAAATCCTGGTACACTAGGAATGTTTAGAATATTGTTTTGAATAGGCTCCGTTTTCTCTTCCTTAGGTTGTTCGTTTTGTAACTTCATTATTTGTAAATTAATTAATGGCATATTGGCAATGCTAGATGCTTGTATTTTCTGAATATATTCCGCCATATTAGAACCTTGTAATTGAAAAACTTGCTGAAAATCTTCAGAAATGATTACTTCATTATCAGTCTTATTCTCTTCCTTGGAAGTATCTATTTGCGACATAGAAGGTAAGTACACATTAGGTATAATCCTCATTGGTATAGAATTCGATTGGACATTAATTAAAGAGGCATTGCTCTGATTGTAATTAGGAATGTTAAGGGCACACTGTTTCTCGTATAGCTGCATAATTGGACTAGATTCGGTCAAAGTTAACAGAGATCCAGGATATTTGTTCGGTGAATTAACCTAAAGAAATATTCATGATTACACAATTATAAATACATGTAAAAAAAAAAAATAATAAAGCAAAATTATTACAAATGTTCATATTTACAATAATCTGCTGCTTGTTTTGATTCAATCCAGTAGCCACACTGTAAACAGGACTATGTTGAGCCATCGATAATTCAATAGCACTGCTACTTATGTTGAATTGATTAAGATCATTAAGAAATGGATCCATTCTTAATGTTATTTCAGAAAATTGTGGCAGTGTGCCTTGAATATTATTACTTTCATTGAAATTCATGTTTTATTCTTAAAAAATTGATCTAGTTACGCGCGCATTCGTAAAAACCATAGCATACAATATGTTTCTAACCTATAATTACAGGCAAATTCGAAATACGTTTTAATAAAACAATCTTTGGTCTCACTTTTCATTAATAAAAAAGAGAAGACAAAAAACGAAAATATTTCTTATACGAAGAAATGTCGATATAAAATACGATGAGTATAATTAAATTAAAAATAAACTTAAAGACCAAAGATATATATTGAACTCCGAACGCACGCGGCGTCGTCAACAACGAACTAACATGGTTGCCTATTACAATACGGTTCAAGAAAAGCGCGCCAAATTCAAATTATTTAAATAATTCTTCAAAAATATTTCATTGGTTTATATGATCCATACAAATTTCTTTACCGAGTAATCGACGTTACATTTCTCCTTTATCAAAATTACTTTTACAAATATTATCGTTGTTGCATTTTCAAAAAAACATAAATAAATGAAATGAAGGAAATTTTTCTTTCTATTATATTGGTCAAACTGAAAATGTTTCTTGTTGTTGTTTACAGTTGATGCTACACCAACTTCGTTTCGTTTATCGAGTAATAGAAAATATTCTAACTCATTTGTCGATTGATAAATGCAATTTGCAATATTATTATGTTTTAAAAAGATATCTTTTTAAATAGATAAATAAATACAGGTCAGATCTGTAATACAAATAGAAGAAAAATGTATTTCTTCAATGTCTATTCTACTTTCCAATAAAATATATTTTAATGAGATCATGACATATATATATCTTCAACTTTGAACTATGCATAAGAATGCATGTGATTAATATAAACAAAATATTGCATGTACATGGATGAAGATTCTGAACAATTGTTAGATTATTTACGTAAAAAAAGCAGAACTTTGCTAGCTTTTACAGAAACTAATTCTAAGAAGATCAATAACGAGATTCAAAGATTGAATCAGAAGAATTCATTGTTAGTACAATTTCAAAAAAAAATAATTAACTATTGAAAGTGGTGTAACTATTTGAAATAATAAGCCATATCTACAGCTTTTATTTACAGAAAATTAAGAAGACAAAATTGTTATTTAAAAGACCGTAAAGAAATATGGAACTTGAGGAACGATTCAAGTGCTGTTAACAATCTATTGTGTCCAGAGTATCATTCTGAAATTAAAAATCTAACAACATGTTCATCGGTTCCTAACATGCGTCCATTGGAAAGAATTGTCATACCATCCAAAAATTTATCCCATTCACATTGTGTAGTAAGTAGGAAACCGGTGAAAGAATGTTATTGCAATGTTGAAATCAAAAAATTACAAACTCGTTCTCCAAGAACCATACATAAACCTACTCCATCTTGTAATTATTGTAAAAATCATATTTGTCATGTGCCATTGACGATAAATGAAAATAATATAGGAGATACACTATCACCACCTATTAGTTGTGAAACTATTCGTAGAGTACAAAAAATTAATTATCATCCTCAGTCGCAATTTCTTCGCAATGTTCAAAAGAAAGTTTCTGTTCTTAAGAATGTACCTTCTGGTGATTGTCCTGACAGTTGTCCAAGATCATCGTATTATCACAAATTGAGGACTGATAAAACTTCCATGGTAATGGATACAAATACTCGACCAAAAATTGTTACAGAACAAATAAACAAGTCTAGTGACATTGACTTGGAGAAATTGAGTTCTACTCAGAGAGTATCAAGTTCTCTGATAGATGAAGAAGAAGAAGGAGAAGAAGAAGAAGAAGAAGTAGAAGAAGAAGTAGAAGAAGAAGAAACTGAGACAAAAGTAATAGAAAAAGTAAGCAAGGGTATTCAAGTACCTTCGAGGAAACAATCTAAATCGAAATTTCAAGTTAGAAGAACTATATCTTCAAAAAAATGTATATCAGAAGGATGTAAAGGTAAATCTGTTTCAAGATCACCTTCTATCGGTAAAAAGACTGTAAAATCATCTACTGTAGATTGTCAGTGTTATGACAAAAGTAAAGAGGACAAATTTAGCAAAGATTTGGAAACGTATCGTGTTTATTCAGAAGATTATGAAGATGTCGATGATAAATTGAAAAAATGGTCATCGCATGAGAAAGTGGATCAAAGAAAAGCTTTAACATCTCCAAATAGTAAAGTTAAAGAATTAAGAAAATTTCGTGAAGAAAATTATTTCGACACTCATGGATCGAGTCAAACACTTTTGTCATCGGATTCTTCAAAATCGTTACAGCAATATACTTTGAATGATAGACTTTTTGCTGAACCTTTTAAAAGAATTCACAAAAAGGATTTGGTTGTAACGATGCCACCATGTGCAACGATACAAAAGAAACGTGTTCATTATTTTCCTAGATATATAGTAAGACAAGAGAAAAATAATTGTAATACGAATTACAAGAAAAAACGTTGCCAAAGTTGTCCATTGACTGGACATGCAATAGATCTTGGAATTTCTAAACCTCGTCCGGTATTGAATAGCTTGGCATTAAAATATCAAAAGAGACTTCCTTAATGTGAAGAAGTATTTTTATTATTTAAAAGAATATTTTTTATTAATTGATTTATATTATTCCATTACACATGTGTGTGTAATTGTATACATTTTTTTTTATAGTACACAGAGTAATTTTTATCCAAAGATCATTTTTATAATCTTTTTGTTTTAACCGATCAAAGCATATCAATTTTTAATCTCGTATTTAAATCTTTTTCTAGTTTTTAAAAAAATTTCATGATAAAGTGATAAAGGAGATCGTATTATTTAATAAAATAAATAAATGATAATATTATAAATATCTACGAAATGTCTGTAAATAAATAACCATCGATTTTATTTTTAAATATAATTAATGATATGTACAATAATTCGAACAATCTGTAAAACGGTCATTTATAATAAATTATTAGAAACAAAATTAATAACATATTAAGAATAAAGTTAAAAATAAAAATATCTTACTTACCAAAAGAAAATGAACATATTTTAAACAAATTTTCATGGAGGTTGAAATCGTCTAGTAACTTTTTCAAATTTGTCAGCGTAAGCGCGCGCATAATAAAAGAAATGATGGGGAAAAAAATATTCTCCCAGAAAATTAATTTTTATTTATAAATCGCTCATCTGTACATATAGAACTAAGTAGTAATACGAAAAACTAGAAATCAGCCAATAGGAGAGCTGGATTTTTGAAATATAAATCCAATCATTCTTTCATAGTTGAATAGAATATCGAATTTAATTAAATTTATTTTTATTTAATTAATTTAATTAGAAAATGTATATATTTAAATAAAAATCATACAATAATAATAATAAATTTATGTAACATATATATTATAATGAATTAAACTAGAAACGTTGATGAACGCGCTGTTTTAATAAGCAAAGTTGGTAGTACTGCTATAAGAAATATAAACTTGGATTGACAGTTAGAATCGACTAGATATTGTAGTTCCATTGTTTTTAATCTTTCTTTCCTTTAAATTTATTTTCGTTAAATCTCGTCTTTCTATTAATTAAAATATATCAAAATCAAAATGGTTGTTGCAATTAAAAATGTACGCTTATTCGATGGTCGCATTAAAGCACTTAATTCAAATGGAACTGCTGAAATTGTGTTCTCCTATAATGGCAAACTGCAAATAGCAGCTCTTGATAAACATACATTTTTTTATAATGCTCGAGAAATACCAAAACAAGAACGTTTAAGTAAATACGTTTCTGTCAACACAGAGGTATATTTTTTTAAGTAAGTTAAGTGAAGTAATATACTTCATTTAATAATGTTGTACTTTATTTGTAGGTATTTTTTATTGGTAATTATATAAAAACAGATGCAATACGTGAACAATGGTTAACACTCATGTGTTGGCCAAAGGAACATAGCCTTGGAGATAAAATTGTTATAAAAGGAGGAATGGTTAACATTCCAGGACGTATAATCAATTTAGATGATAAAGAAGGATTTTTGAACCCAATTGAATGTGACGATCAACCATTGAAAGTATTTTTCACGTTAAACGAATCCTATTTCCATGGTACAAAGTTATCCACTCAACCAGAATTATTAGCTAAGTTAAACACAAATACTATCTTATACTTTGATGCTTTACCTTGTTTACCCAAAGAAAATAAATATAATTGCGAATGGCGTGCTACTTGTGTATACGTTGGAAAAAGACCGTCCCTTGACAATGCTGTGGTGGAATCGTCTAATGAAGCTACTAAACAAATTCTGCTAGATATTCAAAAAGTTAGTATATCACTTCCTTATTTCATTAATTTTATAGATTTAAAATATAACTTATATATCTCTTTGATAATTGTGATGATATATTTTCTTTTCTTTTCTTTTCTTTTTCTCTCTTTTAGTGTTTCATTTTCCCATTAAGTATGTTCATAGTTGGCAAAGGACAATTTGTAGTGAGCATTGACGATAACTTTGGCTTGATATTAGCTCAATTTCAAGATAATGTTTACAAGGAAATATTATTTCATAAAAAGAATGCTTACGTTTTTAATATGTGCTTAGAAAATGAAAAACTATCCAACATTTTTAAAAAAGGTAAAATAATAATACTTCAGTTTATATATTATAAGAGAAAAAAGAAAGAAATATTTATTTAATTAAATATTATTTTATTGTTCATTGTAGGAGATAAATTGCATTTTATCGCAGTTGAAGCTAAAAAATTTGTGGGACTTATAAAATGGTTTGCTATACAAGTGTCTGTTTGTGACTATGGAGAATAAATTCATTTCAACTACATCAATTATTAGAAGAAATAGGTTTGTAATAATATTGCCAAAGATGCAAATTATTTTAAGACTTACTATATAATTTATTTATTTATATATATATATAATATTAAAAATATAAAGCAGGCACGTGACGTAATGCTAATGCATTTAACAAAATCTTATTTTTATTTTTTTAAATGAAGACTGAACGAATATATACTATGACCTATCATGTGTACATATGTACATACATATATATATATATTTTTTTAAAACAAATTTTACAAAGTTATTAGTAATTTAATTTTATAAGAGAAAACACAAATGTTTACATGATAACAATTACTATTTTTAAATCTTTATAAGAAGTGTTTTTAAAACTGCTTCATCGAGAAATCAAAAACAAAATGAATACAAAATCAATTGAATAATTTATTAAAAGATATTTATTTGTATTAATGATGTTGTTAAAAAAATGTTTAATCTCACGATGAATCTTGAATCTTCAAATATGTAATTAAAAATAATTCATAATTTGTTAAGACACTGTAATATTACGAATAAGTTTCTCGGAGAAATACAATTACGATTATTTACCTAAACTTCTTATGTAATATTATTGTTATCAGTTTGTATATATGTGTATATATATCTAAACAATCAAACAAAGGAAGAAAAACAATTTTTTTTTGTATATGTATACATTCTGTAAGTAATTTATTCGTCGCAAATTTTATCCAATAATTATACATACTTGTTAAAATAATTTTATTCTTATATTTTTTTTTTATCTCTCACTGCATGTATTTATTTATTTATATATATATATATATCTAGTAAGATTGTTAATAAATCAAATTTGAAACGTTCTACGTCCTCCTTGATCAAACGCATTTGATCCAACTATAAAGTAATCTAAATGTAAATCAAATTTTAAATGATTAATATGCCATAGAAAGAAAAAAAAAGATATCAGTAACTGTATTGTACAGTCTCCTTTCATGTATATGTGTATTTGTTTTCTTTTTATACACATATAATACACAATTTTGTTTATTCGAATATTTTGATAACTTTAATTTTAATCTGGTGTCATGAGTCATTGAAAAAAAAAAAAAATAAAGGTGATCTCGATCGTTTCCTAATAAACGATTGAAGTCCGGAGATGGGAGTCCGGGATTCCGTACGGGACACGGCACGCGCTCGTTAAATTATTCATGCTCGTTTTACGGAGTAAGCGAGCAAGCAAGTAAGTAAGCAAGCAAGCAAGCAAACAAACAAGCAAACAAACAAGTAAGCAAGTTAGCTAGCTAAGATAGCTAACCGAGGCTCGATTACATATGTAGCTAGATGGTGATGCAAATGACACGATGCTAAATAATTCCTTCTATATCCATGATAATCTCGCTTGAAGAGATTTCGCAACGTAGAGAGACGCGGAAGGTCGCGTGAATAAATCATTGTTCCTTGAGAGACACCAGAGGATATATGAAATGCAACCGGCTGCGTTATTCTTCTTCTTCTTCTTCTCTCTTTCTCTGTCTTATTTCAATTCATTATATACCTTCTTTCACTCTGGCAAGGTTGATTCCGTTGTACAAGTAGATACATACATATATACATACTTACGACTATTACCAGCTAGGATTTGTCTTTCGCAAGGCCGATCATGTCAGTTAAACGCTACTTATGTATAATATATACACAGTTGTTGAACGATCGTTACAAAAAGAGTTCATTTTTCGCTGATCTTTAATAATAACACGACAACGAGATCTGTTGTCTGATGAAATAATTACTTAAATGGCGCGTTTATCTAATGTACAAACTATAATGATCAAATTGATCGATACAGGAAGGGAAAATGCGTTTTAATTGAATCTAGATATACAGGGTAATAAAATAAAATGTATAATATACAAAAAACGTAAATCGCTCAATTTTAAGGATTTTCTAAATAATTTCGTTGGTCTATATTTGAAGATTGAAATAAAAGTTGATTATAAATATTCGAAACAAAAGAGAGCTTTCCCCTCTTCTCTCTTAAAAGTTATTTCGATGATTTCGATCTCTCCTCACCTACCGCACCGTCGGCAGTATTCTCTTGTACTTTTGCTGAACGAGAAAATCCAAGAGGGACGCCTTTCTCCGAGTGTTCGGCCTCGTAGAAGAAGGAAGAACTTGTCGGAATGAAAAGATCTCCTGGAGAAGTCTGCTTGCTTTTGCGCCCGGAGGAACGGCCGATCGAATGTGGAGCAACGAACTTGCAACTTCCAGGAAAGAGAAAATAATATCTCTCTCTCTCTCTAAGAGTTATCCCTAGGAATTTAATTCAAATTTAATTACCAAATGAAGAAAAGGAAGATCTTATTTAATCGTTGTAATAAACTAAGGATATAGTAATCGATTAGAAACTTTCGCTTATTATAGATAAACACCTGTTAAACTATTTTGAATTATTATTAATTCGTGTCATATGTATTGGAAACACGACAAGTTCTCATTCGTTTGACAAATATCTAAGAATCTATAATAGATGACAATCATAACTAACCTTATGTATGTATTATTGGAACAGATGGAACAGATATATATCTACGAACAAAATTCTTTTCGTCATATTTGATAAGCAAACATTTAGGGAATCTATTTTTAGATGACAATGATCATCAACTCGGTTAGCTGATATAGATAGATATATTTGTATACATTGAGAACGATCAATCATCGCTCTGTGACATCGGAAAAGAAGCCGCAACAAGTGCTAGGACTATTCGAAAGGGAAAGAAGAAAGACATCGAGACATTATTAGCATCAACATTAATAGTAAGAAGAAGATGATGATGTTGATAATGAAGAAAAAGGATACAGGATATTACGAGCATCCGACGACGTGATGAGGATCGAACCTGGCGATTCATGGAGTTGTTTCGATATTACCAACAGTTTTGCAGCATCAAGGCCGCCTCCTTAGCTGAGATCTTGTCTCATGATGACTCACGCCTAGCTGTGGCCGCTACCTCGACGCTCTCTTTACCTCCACCTTCCTTCCTTTCTTCCTTCCTTCCTTCCTTCCTTTTTCTTCATGCCAACCTCCTCAATCTCCTCAAACTCTCTTCAACAACATCGACAGATATATTTCATCTCTTTTTATTTTACTTCAATCTGAATTTTGAGAACGTGTCCTAAACTTCATTACAAGTTCCCCAAAAAAAACAAAAAGAAGAAGAAGACCACTTTTCTATAATTCTTATCAAGAATTTCATTGTATATCCTCATATCGATACATATTTTACATTCCTAACTGTTCCTCGATCGATTCTCGATGGAATTGAAATTAGGGAAGTTCAGTTGAAGATTTAATAGAATTCCAACGAAGGTAGAAAATATCATTCGAGATTCTCGACATGAAAATTTCTATCATACCTTTTATTATCGTTATGTGAAAATATAGTAGATACATAGAAGAGAGAGAGAGAGAGAAAAGAGTAAGAAATAGAAGAAGAAGAAGAAGAAGAAGAAGAAAAGTAAACTCGTGCAAACAAGTTCCATTCGTCATAACATACGCACTGTGGTAGGTATAATATAATGGTTTCTATACCTCCGGTGGTTATACACAACCATACTCGAACCTAGAACCAATTATCACTGCATAATCTTTTTGAAATTATTATTATTATCCTTATCTGTCATTTTTGTTTTTCCCATTTACTGAGACATAAAAAAAAGAAAAAAAATAAAGCGTTCACGTTCAAGTTTCAGTGTATCAATTTAGTTTTCTACGTAATAGAAGGATAGTGGTGGATAGTTGTTGGTGACCTTGAACGATATATATCAACGTGTTCTCATTGAGGTCTAGGAAATGATATCGATCCGATTTCCCTCAACTCTTCCTATACAGTACTCCACTATCCTTTTCTCGAAAGCTTTCCGCGCAAGTTCAGCCGCACTAAACTATGTATATATAGGGAGAGAGTCCTTCGTCGTCATCAGGTGTATACGCGCGATCAATCCGTCGTCTGTCTGATTCCTCCTACAGCAACATACTAGCCTGGACGTTAATGGTACTCGCGCAGAAACTTCTGCGCATTTTCCTATACTACCTTAGAATACCATATTATTATACTTTAAGGTAGTATTCAAGTTTATGGTATATCCACATCCCCTACCTGTTCACATTTTTATCATTTCTACGATTTCTTTCAGTATTTTGTTTTTTTTTTGTTTTCAAGTGTCTACACCTTATACAGAATATTTTACACTGATACTTCTATTTATTACATTTATTTTGAAAAGTAATATATTATGTTGTACACGTGCCCAAAGTTTGTGAAGATCCACCAATTCCATCCATCCATCCATCCATCCATCCAAGTTTGTAGTAGAGTCAAAGATATAACATCCTACATCCTAAGTTTAGGCAATTAATCAAGCTAAACGTTTAACCAAAGAAAGATAGAGAGAGAGAGAATCATTCGAAACACTGTACGCAAATGGTAGTATGGCAATGTTCTCGTAAAAAGAAAGACAGACAGAGACAGAGAGAGAGAGAAAGAGAGAGAGAGATATTTCGGAAGTGACCTTGAAGTAGCCGTTTAAACTCATGAACGAGACGATCCACGTCTGCGACCGGTTGACCCGGGTACGTAAAAGTGAAAAAGTAAGAAGGAAAAATAAAGGAATAAAAAGAGAGAGAGAGAGAGAGAGAGAGAAGAGGTCTAAAACCAAATATGGTAAACAGGTAAGGTGGCGCTAATAGGAAGCGTATCCTTGCCAGGTGATACGTTCTCGGCCTCCGGAGATAATTCGAAAGAAGAAAAAAAAATCCTTCCTTCTAAGGGAGTCCTAAGGACCCGTCCGTCCGTCCGTCCGTCCATCGTTGTTGTCGTTGTCGTCGTTGTTGTCGTAGTTGTTGTCGTTGTCTTCGTGTACCAAACCAACTTCAATGTCCTCCATCGAGATCGTATAACATCGCGTACAGCGCCAAAAGAGTCGTTGGTAATCTTAAAATTAGTCACGCCGTGAACTCGACTTGAAGGACAATGCCAATGATCCTTGCCCTGGCTACTACTACTATTACTAATAGTAGTAATAGTGGTAGTAGTAGTAGTACTAGGCCATTTAGGCCTCACCTCTTTCTTTTTCATCAACTCTAGTTTTATATTTTTAACCTTGACAAAAGTACTCTTATATTATTCCTTTTTTTATTTTTCTTCTTCTTCTTTTCATTTTATTTCCTTCTTCAAAGA